GCCACCATTACAGTCAGCCAGACGGACAGACACACAGACGCAGGCTGGCAAAAACTAGAAAGCCAGCAGCACCCTGAACATCTCTGTTTAAAACAGTAAAACTGCCCTCCCCTCCCCCAGCTCGCCTCAGCAGCCAGGCAGGGGAATGTGCTAGTGGTAGCAAGCCTGCATGGGAGTGGGGTGGTGTAAGGGGTTGTCCCCCTAGCTCCTGGGATCTGGATGGCAGGGACCCCAAACTAGGTCACCACCATGTGTCAAAGGATTGCATGGGAGAGCTGGGGAGGTTGGGTCCAGCCCTGTGGGTGGATTGGAGGCCTAGCTGGGCCTTGCACAGACACCGGAAAGGCAGCCTGCGGTGAGGCTGGCTGGGCCTAGCTGCAGGCATGGAGACTGTGTGCACAAGGGTGCAGGGACACTCGGGTTTGGCCCAGCTGCCACATTTGAGTGAGTGGGACTGTGACCCCCTATGTGCCAAGTGGCCAGGCCAGGGCAAACCTCAGTGGCCTCCCAGGAAAAGACACCTCCAGTGGGTAACTGTGCCCAGCCCATTCCCTGGTGCCAGGAGCCATGGGAGCTGCTGCTGTGGTGCACAGGGTTACTTACTTAGCACTTGGCACCTCTGTGCAATGCTTACATAGTGTGGGTGCGAAATTGTTAGGGAGCCAGACGGTGCCTAGTTTGCCACTGGCCACCAGGGTTTTACAAACAGGCCCTGATCCCAAAGTGGTTGAGAGTCACAGCCCTTTGCTTTGGCCATCAGGGGCTTGCTACTCCTCCTGGCCCATGAGAAAGGCAGCTGAGGCAGTGCTGGCCCCCACCCCAGGCCCACCTGCTCTCTCCTCCCAAGGCCATGAGCGCTTGGCAAGGTGAGCCAGGGAAGTGGCCAGTCCCTAGTGAAGAGGCTCTCGTGGGCAAAGGTTGTTGCTGCCAGTCTGCCAACTGCTGGGCAGGCAGGGGGAGGGGAGGGGGGGAAGCAGGTCTGTTCTGAGCAATTGTTCAGCCTCCCCCTGATTGCCTGCCCCAGCAGCAGGCTCAGGCTTTGACCAGCACAAAATGTCCCTGATCTTTGCCTGGCCGAGGAGGAAGCTCTGGTAAGAGCCCAGCTCCTGCGGCCCCAGCCTCACCTCCCCTTAAGTCACACCTGGGAGGGCTGCTTCTTCCTTCTGTCCTCAGAGCAGCAGCTCTCCGGCTTTCAGTGAGGCCCGGGCCCGCTCCCAGCCCTCCCTGCCCCCGCTGTGCCGAGCCCTGGGGCAGCTCCGGAGCCGGTCCCTAGACTTGGCCTTTGGCAAGTCGATTCCTTTGCGCTCCCGTTTGTCCCGCTCAGCCCCGTGGGTTCCCAGGGCACCAGCTTCCCTGGGGCGGGGGAGCGGGGACAAGGCACCAGGCAGCCCCGCTGCTGCAGGCTCCACCCTGGATCCACCCAGGCCAGGCCCCACCCATCGGCGGGAGGGAAGCGGAGCTTTGCGGCCAGGGGTCTGCCCAGGCTGGGGAGGGGACCAGGCGGGGGCGCCCCCGGGCCAGAGGGGCCCGTGGC